TTGTTTCTTTTGTTTCTCGAGATTCGTCCCCTCCACTCTTGCTCTCAGTGGCTTGCGCAGGCTTGTCCCGCCTCCTTGATCTCCTCCTCGACCAATCAGAGTCCAGCCTATCATCCTGTGACGTGAAGGAGGAGACACTGAGCAGCCAAATGAGGCTCGGTCTAAGTAGCCTGACGTCTTTGCAGTCTGACACAAAGGTCGCTAAAAACAAAAGAAACTCAATTTTATCTGAGAAACTGTCTCCCTCTGCTGACCTTTGACCTCTGTGCGCCAGCAGAGTTTGGTGTCGGTCCTCCAGCAGCATTTCCTGGTCTTCAGCCAGCGGCTGCATTCGACAGAGGTGGAGAGGCGGAGCCTGCGGCTGGAGGTGGCCAATCTGAGGAAAGGACTCCGGAAGGAGACGAACAGAATGGTGAGGCAAAACACGCACACACACACCTGCATGCTAAACACCTTCATGACGTACGTGTGTGTGTGTTCAGGTGCCAGACGAGCGTTTCCAGAGTGTGTGCGTGGAGCTCCGTCAGGCTCTGAGCAGAGAGCAGGAGGCCCAGATGCTGATCCAGGAACAGTCCAACCAGCTGCACACGCTGCAGCGGCGAGTCGACGAAAATGCTGCCGAGCAAGCTGAAACACAGCGCACACTGAGACAGACCACACAGGTACGCCACACACAAATATTCACTCTGCTCTTTTTGAACATCAACAACAAGTGTGTTACCTGCAGCAGGTGGGATTAGGCCACGCCCACACAGAATCTGACTCGATCTGGGTTTGATGGACGCTCTATTGAGAACATGTTCACCACTTTGCCTTCTGTCAAACAGCCCTTTCTACAGTAAGCAGGAAGTCACCCAAATTGCTGTCCACCAGACTCCATTCATAAAAACAGTAATTTTACCTCACAGAACACAGGACTGTCTCCTGCTGCCTCGATTGGTCAGGCAACTTTGCCCTGTTACGTGACTTTGGTGTTTTGATCCTTTGGTTCAGACACAAACTAGAAAAGTCTGACCGCAGCCCCGTCATCCTGTCAGAGAAAAGTTAAAGTTTAGTTAGTGGAGTTTGGTGGAAAACAATTTATCA